CTGAATGCTCAGGCTGAACTGAATATAACCAGAAGAAACAGGTGAGAGGAATAAATTATAATGAGGCAGGGAGGGAAAACAGCAGGTGAAAGAGATCATCAAGTAAAGAGGAGCAAACAGGCCAGATCATGACAGATGTCAATTGATTAGGGAAATAGATTATAGTATCGTCTGCATAGAAATGACTTTACCAGTTGGAACAGATTGTTTATGAAAACAGAGAACAGCAAAGAACAAAGTCTTTAAATCTTCCAAATATCAGAGGATTTCATATCAAGAGACACACCAAGACCACACAAGTCAAACCTGGAATCATATTATTGATTATCACCTTTAGTTAATAATCAATAACCCAGCAGAGTTTAGAGCATTCAGGCCTAAATGCTTCATCTGCAGTTCCGTTCGGCTCGTTTTACTCCAGCTAAGAACATCTAATGATTTAGATCTGGACCCAGAAGTATTCATGATGGAGTTAAGGTGACCCCTGAGATGATGGCGCCATCTAAAGGCTCCTTCTGTAACATTTTTTCTTCTTTCTTTTAGAGAAGTGAAGCTAAACGTCTCCATATTTGAAGAATTTACCTTTTAAACAGCAGAGTTTCTGTTTGAGTGTTTGGTCTCAGTGTTTCCTGATCCTTAGTTTCTAACAGAACTACCGATGATGAACCGAGCAGGAAAAGAGGAAGTTTACATAAAGGAATGGAAAAGATGTTGTGGAACGTCTGTGAGCTTCTGAGTCACAGAGGTCATTCAGAAACAGTCCTGTTCTCTGGCTTCCATATCTTTTCTGGTCTCCTGATGGACGCTCCGTGGATCGCTCGCACCGTGGTTCTGATGCTGCTTGTCGCTGGAGGTGAGCATATATCTGATCCAGAACAGATTTCCTCTGTAGCTTGGCTGAAGAGGAGGAGGAGAAAGGAGCGCCTGTTGTTCCTCTCTAAAAATACCAGCCGATACAAGAGAACAAACTCAGAACTTTAAATTCTATAAAACCTTAAATAGTGAAAATAATATCTCAGAAAAGTTCTTATGCACTTGAGCCACATTTTGTAAAAAGCTAAACATTACCTGACCTTGATTTAGAGTCCAGAAAGATGAACGGGAAAACTGCACTGACCTCAGGGATGGATTTAGGAAATTTGGGGCCCTAGGCAAAGACAGGGAGGGGGTCCTCTGAATGGAGAAGACACACATCAACAGATATAGAAATGTTAATAGAATAGCCATCTATTATCTGTTCTAGGTTGTGTCCCTCTCTTCTTGTCCCTTTTCTTCTTGTTTTCCTCTCTATGTTTTGTACTCAGCTGACTTTTCATGCTGTCTCTAAAGGAATGAAAGATTTTTTCCAAGCAC